CTCCTATATACTTAGCAAGTGAAGACCTAATCATGTTTGTTTCAGCTACGGTGTCTAGTGTTAATTGCAGAGGGCGATGGTGATAGAAAGCCTTGAAGAATGCAAGTGCGAACACTATTGTTTGATGGTTGGTCACTGTAGATATCTTCACCATCATCCTGGCAACTTATTTGGTGAGATTTAAAAATGAAAAAGCGATCTTCTGTTGTTGGTATTTAGGACCACCAGCTAGTTTACACAATAGGCATGATTTAGTGCTCTGGCGCTTGGTTGATGTTGTAGTCGGTTTTGGAGAGTCCTTGGTGTGTATATACTGATTGGCAACGGAGCGCAAAACCTTGGCGTCAACTGAAGCGTGAACCTCCTCCAGAAGAGAATATAATGCCTGAGAAATTTCTGGTTTTAGAGTAGCAAGCGTCTTTGAGCGTAACTCAGTGCCATACCGTTGTTTCACTGAGCTTGGTAGCTCTGGGTGTAAGAGACGTAATCATATGAGCACAATGATGTTTTCTTGGGAAGGTGTGAGTTCTTCATCAATGGTGATGGTTTCCACCATGATGTTTTATATCACTGTCATGATGTAACAAGTTGTCCTCAATAAATGAAACCAGGCGTTGGTATAGATCTTCTGGGCGCTCGTCAGCTTCTAATTTAATATTATTAAAATCCAGGAAATGTGAACCTGAGGTCTGGAAGTCATAGTGTAAACGAATTGCTTGCCAGATTGATGACATATATGTGGATGACTTTATGATGGTGTTGCCTGAAATCACAGACAATAATTGGCAATTTGGCCCAGCATTAATTCGCGATGGCATTAGACTTCCTATTCCATGTAAAATCATTGGCAAGAAACGTAGCACAATTTGGATCCAATGACAAAATATATTGCAGATTATGTCGCAAAGCTTCGAACGACGACGTTATTGACTCGTGTTTGGTCAAACTCCACTGTTTTGGTTCATGCACATTATAGGCCACGATAGCAGTTCAATATAAAGCGAAACACTAACATAAAGTGTACTTCTTTACGCTATAGTAGAAGCAAGTTCACTGGTGATTACATGAATGACCGGACTTCTTAGGGACGATATTTAGCGTCGATTTCGTATCCCGACAATGCCACCACGCCAGTAATGATACAAACACTGGTGAACGATAAGAAACAGCTTTATTGATAAGCAACAACAATGGCGGATAAACCCGGCACGTACTAAAGGTTATAGGAGAGTGCACAGGCCTGATTAGTTTTTGGTTAAAATCCTTGAATATTGATTAGCATAATTTGAATAATGATTAGTCTCAAAAATTTTTCAATGAAACTTGTTACATAAATAATGCACCGGAGATAATGCACAGATGTGATCAGTTTTTAGTTGATGCATATTAAATATTAGTTGTAGTTTCCTTTTCCGATGATATCTCAAAAACGAATAATTGCATTAACAATGAATAGTTTTTGGTTGAAATCAGAGCATATTTATTACTTAATTTTCATAAATGGGATCAGTCATGTTACCTAATTAATATGCATAACTGTAATGTATGTTGATGTCGTATGAATATTGTGAAGAATTACCATGAATAATTATGCAATTGGGCATATTATCATAACATAGTTGAAACCCATTGGTCTGAATCCATACCGATGTAAACAAAGTAAAATAAATTTTCAGCTAATCACCCTTTCGAAAATTTACAACATATCTTTTGCGTAAAAAAAAATCAGATATTAAGCATATCAACAAAGCTGTAAATCAAAATTCCCCTCAAAATACAACTCCTAGTAGAAGTGTTCGCAATAATCTAAAATTTCATCTGAGGTCAGTTATTATATTTTCATTCAATGTGCTATTTTCGTTTAAACGTTTCTTTTTTCTGGTTACTTTCCACGTTTAAAAAATATTTTTTGTTGTTGGCGTTTCCCTGCCTCATCCCTGTGACCTTTGACCTTATGTTTGCGCTATGTGTTTGCTAATCTAACGTTCATACTCTTGTTTTGATTATTGAATATCACGTGATGAGTTGACACTCAACACTCACAGTAACAGTACATTGAATTTTTTATTTTATTTATACCGCTCCTTTGATAAAGATATTATTATGCTATCTATATTTTTTAGTTTAAGTATATTATATATTTTGATTTTCATTTTTATTAAATCCAAAATTACTCTGAAATTCCTGTATTGTATAATCACCAATACACATATTAATCTATATTTCGTTATCACAATAATATTCGTCCTACAACAGACTTAAATCAAAAATCTAGGACAGATTGTATTTTTGGAATAAATCGATGAGAAAGGTGAGTGACCTGAACCCACACTTGATATGACGTCACATGCATTGCGTCATAGCGAAAATTGTGATGAACCAATATTCGATGCGAGATTACATGAATGAACGTTTTTATCTAAAACTAATAATAACCAGCTGACAATTTTTTTACTCAAGAAATGACTTCAAAATCAAATTCTGAAATAATTATATTAAAAATTGCACCCAATTATATGTTTATCGATCGCAGATGCTCTGTTGCTATCTTAAAAATCAGCCCATATTATCAGACTGTCAGATACATTCCTCAAAAGAGTCAACACACTTTGAAAACAAGTGACTTGATGGTCGAAATAGCTCCGCTGTCCTGCAAGAACATTGTGGTAGCAAAGTCGAGCAACGCACACCCATAAGACTTAAGTTACAAAAGGTATATTAGACTATATGTGAAATTGGTGACATAATTAGCATGGCTTCAGTTTTACTGTCATTTAATTGAAGCTTGTTTAGTGTCATCCATTCCTTGATACCAATGATACAGTTTTTCACTATATCCAGTGTTGCCTGAGTGTGCTCTACGCTGGTTACTTTGTATAGTTGGTTGTCATCTGCATAAGCATGGTGCTGTACAGAGTGTTGTTTTATGAGATTGAATAACGGCTCTGTATATAGGACAAACAGAACTGGTCCCAGAACGTAACCTTGAAGAACGCCACAGTTGAGCACATAACTTGTATCCATTAACAACAACAGTCTGGGTCCTGCCAGTGATGTAGTACTCAAACCAAATCAAAACTGGTCCAGATATACCAAATGTATGTTCAAGTCGATGAAGCAAAATGTTGTGATCGACGATGCGGTTTCTGTACTGTGGTGTTTTTGATATGCAGACTCATGAGTATTAAGCAGATGGTTAGTAATAAGATGATCGTTTAGCTGCATCAGGACTACTCTCTCTTTATTTTTTGAAAGAATTGGAAGATTCAATACCGGACGATAATGTTTCAGTTCATTTGCATTCAGTGATGGTTTCTTGATTAGTAGTTTAACAAGTTTAGACTTGAATGGTGACGGGAATATACCAGTAGATGGTGAATCATTAATTATTGTTGTTATATATGGTAACATTGCATCCAGGCATTCAATTAACAAGTTAGTTGGTATGATATCGAGATCACAGGATTTAGCTGGAGATTTGAGAATCACGCGTTTCACTAGCTCTTCCAAAATCGGATTAAAATTGTTGAGAGTGTGACCTTGGAAACGTTTTTCGCTATGGACAGAAATATCATGATCTTCGCAATCCAATCTTTCTCTAATCAATTTTACTTTACTGTTGCAGTACTCGAGAAAGCGTTCAGGCAAATCAATTGATGGGTAAATAGATGGCAGAGTAGCAATGAACCTACGTACATACTAAGTAACAGGGGCATTTGAGTTGGTAGTTTTTGTTATTTAATATGACAAAAAAATGCTTCGCATGGCCCTGCACACAACCAAGGTACAATGAGCCTATTTTCAAAACAATTAAATATTCCAATGAATTGTTTCCGCCGTGATGAAAGGGTCGTTACGTATTGTTTTGTTTATACGTAATTATTGAGAATGGTCCGAATTAATTGCTAAACATACATGCACCCTCCACAGATGTATGTACGTACCAAGTGTGGGTTCAGATCACTCACATTATCCATCAATTTTATCCACAATTACAATTCGTCCTGGATTTGGAATTTTCAATTTGGGCCTGTTAGAGGACGAATATTATTATAAATTGGAAATGACTATTAAGATGTGGATTAATGTTTATACAAAAAAAAAAGTTAACTGATTTGAGAGTAATTTGGGATTTAATAAAAATCAGAAATCATTAACACCATTGTTAATAATAAATGTAATAGACAGTTTAAAAATACCAAGTACTGTTCGCATACTAGTGATATTGTTGAGTGAGAACCTGTCATCTGATATTCAACAGCGATATAAAAATGAGTATGGTAGTTTGATAATCAAATACATACTGCCATTATAAGGTCAAAGGTCATGATTTCAAAAAAACAATGAAAAGCCATAGTGAAGTACACGCTACTTATATTTACATATTTATGCAACATCAACAAATGAAAACTAAAATTTATTACAGTATTCTTTTGAGTAAAATCTACAACACACACAGACCACAACTTATTTGTGAACGATTTAATCTGAATGACAGGTCATGGAAAAGCTAGTGTAGACTACTTAGAAAAGTTTATTCACGAATCCAACTTCACTGTTTTCAACTAAAGATGTCAATAAAAAAATTGATATACGTCCTACAATAAATGAACTGTGTCAATTCTAGTAATTGTGTACATGCAAGATCAGTATGGAATTAGTTTAGAGAAAAAAATGTTGACGCTGTCGACGTACCTGATGATATAGAAACGATTCAGAGAATAAACGATTCATGAAATAAAGTGTAATGTTAGTACTACAATAATGTTCTATTTAAAGCGCAAGGTGCACATCATTGTATAATTAATTGCTTGATTTACTTGATCTATCGGAATGATTGTTATATATTGAGACAAGACATGTCCATTATGACAAATCAAATTGTCCTCCAGAAATAACAGTTGTGCATCATTAGTGAGATGCATCATGGGAGTAACGCCATGTTGAACTATACAGGTCAAATAACCATACTTTGAGATCGACATATCGTTATTATTATTTTACAATTCATACACAAATTCTATTCCCTTTTCTTGTAACTTCTTCACTATGACATCTTCAAACATCTCATTTTCAGCCACGGTGAAATGGTTCTTCCAGTCGCCAACTTTCCCCTTCCTAAAATAGCCAGCAACATAATTTGGCATAAATGACTCGTCAATATCGATTCTAAACGCAGACGTTGGATTATTACGTAAATTGTCAATAGAAGTGTTAACTATAGCATTTTCTAACTGGGAGTCCGGAAGAGAGCGTCCCAGGAACTCCGTTATCGCGCGGACAGTGGTCTTGGTTTCTTTTACCATGTCTTCGTAAGTGACGTAAAACACGTTCTCATCATCACTGTGTTTCCTCCAGCCAGCTACGTGGTTCACCCAAGGTGTACCTGGAAGGATCCCGTCTATGAAATTTTTAAGATGACCTTCTCGTGTAACATTTTCTCTTGGCAAATTGGTTCTGCCTAACCAGTGATAGCTAGAAGTGACGACATCTTTAGGATTACGAGCGATGTATATTACTTTGGTACCAGTCCGAAGTGCTTGCTTTGGAAATAATTCGTACGGGAGGTGTGACTTGATAAGGCGTGGTGATGACGTCACGCCAGGGTCTATCAGAAAGGATTTCACTGCTCTTGTTATAGGCGTGTCGAAATCATCGAAAAATCTAGGATTGGCAGTGAGCCACTCTAGCATTGGAGGCACTTTCTTGTCACCGTGCTGAAATACATTCAAATCGGGATATAATTCTTGCAGTAAGAATATCATCCAGGTGTTACCAGACTTGGGAAACCCTTGCACAATGATGTCATCTTGACGGAGAAATTTCTCCAGAACTCCATTCTCCAGTTTTGAAGTATCGGTGTACGGACAAAGTGTGTATCCCTTATATCTCTGGATTGAATCCATGACACGTCGTCAAACAGATCTGATTCTATTTTCAGAGTATATGAATATTCATTACAGAATTATACTGTATTTATAGAATTGTTGAAAGATTATTTTATTATATTATAAAGCGTGTCTTGCACGGCTGCATAAAGCATGGTTTCACGTATACGTTTCACGATGTGGCCGATGGTATTAAGCGAACATAAACCTCTACGAACCCCAGTGTTAGTTCTAGCATTGATGACAGTTTCTAAATAATAAATGCCGAAGAATAACTAATTTTAGTTTGGATAAAAGGGACTATTTCGCGTAAGGCGAAAAAGTTGTATATAGCAGTGAAACAGTTGGACCACGGCGTAAAATTACAAAGTCTAAAATTAAACGATGAAAATATATAATTCCTATTTACCATTTCAGATTGAAATTGGTCATTGTGGAGGGGAGGGGCTTCTATATTCTTCTATAATGAACATAAGATGCTCAAGTTATTTGATCGATTACGTTGTACGTCTAGCCTGTGATTACAGAATTACGGAATTTATTTTTTCAATTTACGTAGTACGAACAAAAAAATATTGCAATTACGTTGAACGAAAATAACCCTTGCCCCCCCCCCTCCCCCTACAAGTGCACGCCGTCTGTAAGACATAGCAGGAGCAAAATGCGTCCAAAATTCTATTTTGTTTTCAACTGTTTGCTTTATTTCAGTCCAGTTTTTGTTTATGAATGTCTTGGTGTTCCTCAAATACACATCCAAAAGTTTTTAAGCTCGTACTGGCCAACTTAATACCCAAGGACGAGCTGCTAATGTCCCGCCAGCTGCCAACCCACAGTCCCTCTGACTTTTGAAAGTTGGTTTTGCGTGTAATGACTATTTCTACGTCGTCAGCATATGTCATTTTGCTGTGTAGTCCGTTACTCTGGGGGATCTCAATACCTGTGATGTTTTTTTATTCTGTCTGATTTCATAGAATAACGGCTCTATGACAATGACATATAAAAGTGTGGATAGAGAGCATCCTTGACGAATGCTTCGAGACAACATAATATGTGACGGGAGGGCGCTGTTCACTGACATTGGATTGAGCATGTTTTTACAAAAGACGAAATCACTGAATAAAATTTTGTCCAGACTCAAATGCACATATGTCTTGATCAAGTAAGTGTGGTTGATTCTGTCAAAGGTTTTTTTTTCTGATCAATGTTACGATTTGGGATACTGCAGCTCTGATCGGGATGAATGATAGAACCAATAACAGATCAAACTTGACAGAGTGACAGTGTTTTTTTGAAGATCTTATAATCACTGCACAGGAGGCTAACAGGCCGCCAGTTTGTCCCTCCTTTTTAGGCAGTAAAGTAACATAGGCTTTTGTGCAAGAAATTGGGGAACAACTATCACGAATAAAATAGACAACAACTTCACAGAGGTCTCTACCAATTATATTCCAGAATTGTTGAAAAAATACTTATGGTAACCCATCAATACCGGGAGAACACTCACAGGCAAGAACCTTAACTCGTTTCGTACCTTCTTCAAAGAAATGGTTTCATCAAGATGTTCACGATCTGTTTTACTGAGAATAGTATTTTCTGCATTTTCATCAGTGTTATCGGGTGTGTAAAGGAATGCATACAATGTCATCAGTTAGACGGCCATTTTCCCGCTGAATATCTGGAATATGAGCTATCGCTTTTGTGAGTCCGTTTAGTTTCTCAAATACATTGTGTTTTTCAAACACATTGCTACTTGTATGCTACAATTCATAACCGCCGACCTATCTTTTTTATCTGTTAGTTTGAACGACTCGATCAAGGTCTAGATTCTGAAGATAACTTATATTGTCTAACAGTACTGGTCGACCTTGTGTCGGTATGTATTTGTGTCACGTGAAACGTGTAAACAGAGGCGCATCCAATCAAATACACTGTCGGCGTACGCATAGAAACACAAACACGACGTATTTGCCATTTTAAAGTTAGGTGTAAACGACTACTCCGGATACTGTCATGGATTCCTTCCAGAAATGCATATATAAGGGCTACACACTTTATCCGAACACCGATATCCCAAAACTGGAGAGTGGAGTCTTGGAGAAATTTCTCCGCAAAGATGACATAATTGTGCAAGGGTTTCCCAAGTCTGGTAACACCTGGATGATATTCTTACTGCAAGAATTATACCCCGATTTGAATGTGTTTCAGCACGGTGGCAAGAAAGTGCCTCCAATGCTAGAGTGGCTCTTAGTAGACCCCAGTGTGCTCGGAGAGGCCGACCCACCGCTGCTTAGAGGACTGAAACTGTTTCAAACAGACCCTGGCGTGACGTTATCGCCACGTCTTATCAAATCACACTTCCCATACGAAGTATTTCCAAAGCAAGCACTACTGACTGGTACCAAAGTAATATACATCGCTCGTAATCCTAAAGATGTCGTCACTATCACTGGATGAGTAATTCTAGTATGCTCCATGAGAAAGTTACATGGGAAGGCCATCTGAAGGACTTCATAGATGGGAATCATCCATTTACACTATGGGTAAACCACGTAGCTGGTTGGAGGGAACACAGTGAAGATGCGAACGTGTTATGCGTCACCTATGAAGACATGTTAAAAGACACCAAGACCACTGTCCGCGCGATAACGGAGTTCCTGGGACGCCCTCTACCGGACTCACAGTTAGAAAATGCTATATCTAACACTTCCATCGATAATTTACGTAATAATCCAACGTCTGCGTGTAAAATTGATAATTGTAAAATAACATCGATGTTTAGTTAGCTGAAAGATTAGAATGGGTTATCACCGCAGTGTGTCAGTTTGTCAACGTAAAATATACGAACAAACTTGTATTTCAGATTTGGTACTTTCGAACAGCAGACCGGACGACTTATTTGTTTCTTTCCTATTCGAAACAGTAATGTTGTATTTGTAGTATTCATTCGTGTTCTGCCATCGGTGCAGGTAAAATACACATATCAGTATAGCAAAACAAAACCCTGGCAATGGAAAAACCTCACTGCTGTAGAAGCACAATCGACACCAACGTCCGAAAACACAAATAAGGACCAGCAACGATCTTTCATGACCATGGTAAACCCTGACCAAGCAGGAGGGGGTTATACAGTTGTATTACCTTCTAAGGCATGTACAATACACCCACATATTGTTTGAGGATGACGTACAATCTTGATACAATGACGTCTTAAACCCATTATTTTTGTAAATCGTAAAAGTAACGTTTTTGCGAATATTACGCACAGATATTAACATATACACAGTTATGCATAATAACTCGCTATATATAACTGTGCATTCAATTATATATCACGTGATTTCTGCTGTTAATGTTGCAACAATAAATCTACACAGATTTAACATTATTTTGGATCAATGGATATCCAACTACTCAGTGCTGTATTATGTTATTCACAGTCTCTTCACCACTGAATGTTAATTAACCGTTTCACTACAATATACAACTTTTTCACCTTACGCGAAATAGTCCCTTTCATCCTAACTGTTGTTTTAAATGTTTTGCTTACAATATATATGAAATACCATGACCTGTGTTTGCTTCAAAATTAACGAAAATCAAAAAAAAATCCACAGACCGTATTACATGTCTCACGTACTGTTCTTTTTTTTTTTTTTTTTTTTAAATAACGTAAAATTGATTAATCTTCGGCATTTATTATTAGAAAGTATCATCAATGCTAGAACTAACACTACGCTACGTAGAGGTTGGCTCAATATAATCGGCCACATCGTGAAACTATGCGCTCTGCAGCCCGTACAAGACCCGCATTATAATATAATAAAATAATCTTTTGAAAATTCTATAAATACGGTATAATTCTGTAATGAATATTTATATACACTGAAGATAAAACGCATTGGTGGATACGCATGTAGTGACAAATCGTAATATGCCTACTTCTCTGCCATTTTAATGTCAGATCTGTATGACGTCGTGTCGTGAATTCAATCCAGAGATATAAGGGATACACATTTTTTCCGTACACCGATACCTCTAAACTAGAGAGTGGAGTTCTGGAAAAATTTCTCCGCCAAGATGACATCATTGTGCAAGGGTTTCCCAAGTCTGTTAACACTGGATGATATTCTTACTACAAGAATTATATCCCGATTTGAATGTGTTTTAGCACGGTGACAAGAAAGTGCCTCCAAGGCTAAAGTGGTTGATAATGGAACCCAAGATGTTCGGTGAGGTCGATACACCTTTACTAATGGCCACGAAATCGTTTCAAATGAACCAGAGTGTGACGTCATCGCCACGTCTTATCAAATCACATCTCCCGTACGAAGTATTCCCAAAGCAAGCACTGCAGACTGGTACAAAGAGTATATACATCGCTCGTAATCCTAAAGATGTCGTCACTTCTAGCTATCACTGGTTTAACAAAGCTAGTGCACCACAGGGGATAATTACATGGACAAGCTATCTGAAGTATTTCGTTGATGGGAATCTTCCATTTACACCTTGGAAACACAGAGTGGAGACCAGAACGTGTTTTACGTCACCTACGAAGACATGTTAAAAGACACCAAGACTGTCCACGCGATAACATAGTTTCTGGGACGTCCTCTACCGGACTCACAGTTATAAAGTGCTATATCTAACACTTCCATCGTAATAATACAATATCTGCCTCTAAAATCGATATGGACGAGACATCAGCTGCGAAATATATTCTGACGGAGTTTGGTGGGTCCTCAGATGTTTGTTTCTATTAGCGTATCAGGCAGCTTACTAGGTGTCGTACAGACATGACATTGTTGTGACACTAACTCTATGGATTTGTCCAAGTCGATAGCATAGAAGTTGCATTTAAGGTAGAGATGCTTTAGCTGGTGTTGGGTGATCTAGTTTGATGTGAAGTGCAGTTAAAATTCCGTTAATAACATGGGATGATGATTAGATCAGATGACACTTGGAAGGGCTTGTTGTGTTTAACGATAAGGAGACCATCTCTTGCGATGGTAGCGATAGCAAGATACCTTTTCACATCGCAGATAGTGGTGAGTTTCCTTGATGGTCTTGTTCCTTAATTGAGCATGCACACGTCGTAAATCTGGACACTGTGTTTGTGTGTGCCACGCTGATCTAGTGGTAAACGGGAGGCGTAGTTTGCTGTTAATCATGTCTGGGATATTGGATGCCCGTACAACTGCGTCCTGGATGAATTGAGAAATTTGCAATGTAGAAAGTTGTGAATGTTACACTTACTTAATGCTTTTAGAACGTTTTCCCAGTTTTGGAGTAGTTTGAGTGGGGTGTTTCCTCCATAGTATGCAGTCACCCAATATGCGATACATTAGCTCCTCAAGAGCAGTTTCTGAACCGGGCATGCTCATGGCTGAACGTGTATATACTCTCACACCACGAAAAGTTTTTGGAACTGGAGAGGAACACAATACAAATTCCTGCGTGCGATGGACTTTATGTGAATGGAGTGTGTCGTCTTTGATTCCATGCCTAACAACGTGTGTGCCTTTGATGGATATCTGCTGCATAGCTGGGCGTGCGGAAATGTCATTGACTGTAATGAACGGTGTGCCAGCTAAAATGTCAACATCCTATTCTTCAATGACAAGTGCATCGAGTGTAAGAAAAATGTCGCTTCTACAAAGTGTGATATGAGTCTCACCGATAACTCAAAGTGGTCAGCCCATCAGCCCAGAGTGCTTTTTGTGAACTATTTTGAATTGTAACTCCTATATACTTAGCAAGTGAAGACCTAATCATGTTTGTTTCAGCTACGGTGTCTAGTGTTAATTGCAGAGGGCGATGGTGATAGAAAGCCTTGAAGAATGCAAGTGTGAACACTATTGTTTGATGGTTGGTCACTGTAGATATCTTCACCATCATCCTGGCAACTTATTTGGTGAGATTTAAAAATGAAAAAGCGATCTTCTGTTGTTGGTATTTAGGACCACCAGCTTGTTTACACAATAGGCATGATTTAGTGCTCTGGCGCTTGGTTGATGTTGTAGTCGGTTTTGGAGAGTCCTTGGTGTGTATATACTGATTGGCAACGAAGTGCAAAACCTTGGCGTCAACTGAAGCGTGAACCTCCTCCACAAGCAAATCTAATGCCTGAGAAATTTCTGGTTTTAGAGTAGCAAGCGTCTTTGAGCGTAACTCAGTGCCATACCGTTGTTTCACTGAGCTTGGTAGCTCTGGGTGTAAGAGACGTAACCATATGAGCACAATGATGTTTTCTTGGGAAGGTGTGAGTTCTTCATCAATGGTGATGGCTTCCACCATGATGTTTTATATCACTGTCATGATGTAACAAGTTGTCCTCAATAAATGAAACCAGGCGTTGGTATAGATCTTCTGGGCGCTCGTCAACTTCTAATTTAATATTATTAAAATCCAGGAAATGTGAACCTGAGGTCTGGAAGTCATAGTGTAAACGAATTGCTTGCCAGATTGATGACATACATGTGGATGACTTTATGATGGTGTTGCGTGAAATCACAGACAATAATTGGCAATTTGGCCCAGCATTAATTCGCGATGGCATTAGACTTCCTATTCCATGTAAAATCATTGGCAAGAAACGTAGCACAATTTGGATCCAATGACAAAATATATTGCAGATTATGTCGCAAAGCTTCGAACGACGACGTTATTGACTCGTGTTTGGTCAAAATCCACTGTTTTGGTTCATGCACATTATAGGCCACGATAGCAGTTCAATATAAAGCGAAACACTAACATAAAGTGTACTTCTTACCGCTATAGTAGAAGCAAGTTCACTGGTGATTACATGAATGACCGGACTTCTTCGGGACGATATTTAGCGTCGATTTCGTATCCCGACGATGCCACCACGCCAGTAATGATACAAACACTGGTGAACGATAAGAAACAGCTTTATTGATAAGCAACAACAATGGCGGATAAACCCGGCACGTACTAAAGGTTATAGGAGAGTGCACAGGCCTGATTAGTTTTTGGTTAAAATCCTTGAATATTGATTAGCTAATTTGAATAATGATTAGTCTCAAAAAATTTTCAATGAAACTTGTTACATAAATAATGCACCGGAGATAATGCACAGATGTGATCAGTTTTTAGTTGATGCATATTAAATATTAGTTGTAGTTTCCTTTTCCGATGATATCTCAAAAACAAATAATTGCATTAACAATGAATAGTTTTTGGTTGAAATCAGAGCATATTTATTACTTAATTTTCATAAATGGGATCAGTCATGTTACCTAATTAATATGCATAACTGTAATGTATGTTGATGTCGTATGAATATTGTGAAGAATTACCATGAATAATTATGCAATTGGGCATATTATCATAACATAGTTGAAACCCATTGGTCTGAATCCATACCGATGTAAACAAAGTAAAATAAATTTTCAGCTAATCACCCTTTCGAAAATTTACAACATATCTTTTGCGTA